TGTCAAGAGTTCTTCAGCTAATGTGGATAATCTTTTCCTGTTACTTATTCATTGGTAAAAGAAGTCTCGCCATTTTCACCATCGGAGCTTTCTTGCGCAAAACGGTTCTCAGTTGTCTATACTGGCCCTCTTGCGCAAAACCATTTGCGCAAGAGGGCTTTTTCCCGAACGGGAGAGTCATTGTATTTGTGCAAGAACACGGACAATCATACATTAGATCATCAGTGTTCTTACGCAAATTCAAGTGGCCGGTGTAGACAGTTGGCAAGTTTTTCCGCAAAAGCAACTGCGGAAAAACTTGCCAGTCTAGACGCAGCCATGGTGTGTTGCCTTATGCCCCTGGAAAAGATCCCGTGAAATTCTTGCAGGTATCACAGTTGCATATTCGTCAGTGAGCACCCCATGGAACACTGCTAGCCTGGGCAGAACACACTGTCTGTGTAAACACACCCCAACCGGCCAGCACAAGAACCCCCCAACCTCACAACAGTCTGCCTACAGAGTGAATGGAGCCGTCCCATGTTACTAGCGCTGGTGTAGAAAGCACAACCCATGTCTGTGGAGCAGTTTGAGCTACCAGATACGTGTCCAGTATGAACACGACAAGAGGACATTGGGAAATGACTTTGATTCCAGAATCCTGGGAGCAGAAAGCCTTTTCCTTGCCCTTCGGCTTCCCACTTGTCATTAAGCCTACACAGGGCGGCAGTGACCTTTTCGGGGCCAATGGTCTTGACACAACTGAGCAACTTGACACAAGCTGCTATAATCAACCGAACCGATTATTGGTGGTGGATCGTGTGGCAGCCTCCCCACCTGTAGTGCCGATGGCAGGACAGTGGTGGCAGAACACAAAGCCAGGCTCATCATTAGTAGCAAAAAGATTACCATGACCAATTAGGTCACTATTACTGTCAAATTACTACACTACCAGGGGAGCTCTCAAGCTGTGGGTCTCCAGGGTCTAATTTCTGCTCATCCCATCACTCACAGAGCTCAGGGAATTGTCTGGGAATCCCGGCCCACCTGGGAGCCCGTAGGGACTGAACAGGGGAATCATAAAAGTGGCCGTTTAGCCGCCGAGTGTCACACCTGTGAGATTCACACGCTGAGTCTCTTATCTCTGCCTCACTGCTGCAGGAAGGCGTTTTCCTCCCTCTGTTGAGTGCGATTGGGGTGAGTTGCCAGTTTCTGCATTAGCATTAGCGGAAGGACTGAGGAAGGGCTCCAGGGTTGAAATCTAGAACTCACTGGGTTTTTAGATATGCCAAGGATTTATCGGGATACGTTTCCAATATATTGAAAAAGATGAGACCATTGACTGTCCTTAGAATCAGTCCGTTGTTTCTTACTGTGTCCTTCTATCCATCGCAGTTGCTTCCTGTTTTGGTGCAGTGTGGTTTTCCAATTCCTCAACTTCACTGCACAGGTAGATAGAGCAGCTAAACCCTCAGCAATCAGTGTCTGTGTTACCAGGGGGTTACAACATACATGGGTCACATACTGGCCACAATTTGCTCTCCCATTCTGCCTTCTATGCAGTGCTCTGGATTGACCCTGGCTTACCTGGGAGGAAAATTGAGGCCCATGTGATTTAAAATCCCCAACTTTCAAACCTGGTCTGAGAATACCCCACATAAAGGAGTTTCTGTCAGACTCTGAGCTCCCAAGCAAACCAGCATTCTCCAGTTGCCAAAAGTAAAACACTAAGGGCATGTCCCTACTAGGAAAGACTTTGGAATAACTGATTTTGAAGTAATAACCCCTGAAACAACTATCTTGTAATCAGTATCACTTCTCAAGGAAAACAGGAGATATTATTTGAAATATACAGCCTATTTTCAACAACAAAAAAACCAACAACCCAAAAAACCTCGACTAGGTAGTGTGGATGCTTGGCTAGTTATTTCTGCTATTTAGACCAGGACTGTGGGTGAAATCTGGGAATCCTGCAAATTTTTCTCCATCCACACATAGGAACTTGAATAGATGGTCTGATTTGAACTGATCTCGAGCCTACTGTGATTTGAGGTAAAGGCATCCCGTGCCCCTTGAAAGGCGGGTCAGCTCGTTTGAATCCAAGGAAAACTGAGAGGAGAGTTGCTGAAATATCAAACTCACAGCTTCAAAGGTTGAAAACAATCAGGATCACAATTTCTTTCAGGGAGGGAAGGGGGTCTGTTCTCTCTGTGCCCCTCCAATTCTACTCTGAAAAGTGCAAAAAGTGGCAAAAAGAAAATCATGGTTCTGATTGAGGGTTAAGGGAAACCAGGTGTTTCTGGCTACCTCAAGTGAGCATGTGCGGGAAGAATGGGGGTAGTTGTGCAGTATCCAGATCACAGTGACATGGAGTCCTGTAATGAGGTGACTAGGGAATAGGCAGCCGGCCTCGTATGCAATGAGGACAGGAGGTGTCTCACACTATAAAGTATCATGGACCTCGCCATAGCTGATTGTCTCTGATACCATCTGCCCTGCAGATCATTCCTGTTCCCATGAGCAACCTCACTACAGCCTCATGGCAACGTGAGGAAATGTCAACACTGAAAAGCCGCCTCAGGAAGGTCGGGGTTTTCCAGAGGGCTGCAGTGCAGCTGGGGACGAGGCGTGATGGAATTCCAAGACCAGAAGTGACCATTGTGATCGCCTGTTCTGACTACCAATGCAGACAGTTTTCACAGTCATATTCCCAGAGCTGATCTTTATAGAGAGAAACACCAAACCTCGATGTAAAAATGTTCAGTGATGAAGAATCCACCAAGACTCTTGGTTTAGTGTTCTAATCGTTAATTATGCTCTCGGGTTTTCTTTAAATGTACATCTCTGTCTGTTAGGCCCAAAAGTCTATTTTTAAATTTGTTGTCATGTACCTACTTATAGATGGTTCTCAAGTCACGGTTCTCCTGAACTTTCTTAAGTTAAACCAATTGAGCTCATTGAATCGATCAACACAAAGGAAGTTTTCTAATCTTTTAATATTTTGGTGATTCTTCTCTTCAGAGTTACCAACAATCCTTCCAGACCTGGAAACAGAATTCCAGTAGCAGTCGTATCAGTGCCAAATGCTGAGGTATAATAACTTCTCTAGGTCTCCTTGAGATTCCCCTCGGTAGCCTCCCATAGTCGCATTGGCTCTATTGGCCCCAAGGTCACACTGGGAGCTTATAATGAGCGAATTCTCTCTTCATGCTTCCAAATCTTGCTTAAAGTCACTGCTGCCAACTGTAGTTGCCTATGAAATAAGCACCACTACGTTCTTTGACCCTAAATTAACCAGAGGTGCAGGTCTGTAGTGCGAATTATAAGCATTAGTTGAGATTGTGAGATTTCTAGAGATAGGTTTGTTCCATGAAATACGATGGTGTATCGGGCTTTCACAGATATTTACACAACTATAAATGTTGTGATTGGATAGTCTCTCTCTCCATGTAAAAATCAAAATCCTTCCTGATTCTTACTAACCTAACGGCCTCAAATACCTCTTGTGGCAATGAGTTCCTCAGTCTAATTGGACAATTGAGTGAAGTAGAGATTCTTTTGTATCTGTTTCCAGTTGACCATGTTTCATTAAATGTGCCCTGGTTCTTTTCTCAGTACAGGGAGAACACATTCCCAGTGTACACTCTACCGGTGAGTAATACATAGTCTGTTCTCATATCCTCTCTTATTCCTTTCCTTTCTAAGTTAGCCAGCCCAGTCTTTGCAAACTCTCTCTGCTTTCAAACATTTCCAACCCACTAATAACCTCAGCCGGAACAATCCACAGAAGAGTCCAACAATGTATCAATCCAACAAGGAAAATAAGAGAACATCGGTGGTTATACCCCCGGCAGCACAAAGCTGTATGAGCCTGGGTCTGATTGATCTCATGGCATTTCATGTGTCATATGATTCCACAACCCACTCCTCACGAATTCCAATGATTTACCTACATTTTGTCATGGCGAGCTCTGTGAGCCAGGTTTCTTACAGCTGTGGCCAGAGTTTACACAATGAAAATAGAACCTTGATACATGTTTGAGGGGTTCAAACTTTTCCATCCAATGGAATGACTGAATTTGTCAACCTCAGATTTCTAGAGATTGGTTTGTTCCATGAGACATATTGATGTATCGGGTTTTCAAACACATTTATGCAACTATAAATGTTGTAATTGGATAGTCTCTCTCTTCCTGTAAAAATCAAAACCCTTCCTGATTCTTCCTTACCTAATAGCCTCAACTACCTCCTGTGGCAATAAGTTCCTCAGACTAATTGGACACTGAATGAAGAACAGTTGCTTTTTTATCTGTTTCACCTGCCGTCATCCTGCTGATTCATCTGCCTCAGTTAGCTCCTCTGCATTCTTGTATGGACTTGTATGTCACCTAAATAATCTGGTGTCACCTGTAAATATTGTGGTTAGCTCCTCTGCATTCTTCTATGGACTTGTAAGTCACCTTAATAATCTGGTGTCACCTGTAAATATTGCAACTTCACTGCTCACCTTCTTGTTAGATTGCTCAGAAAAATATTAGCATTTGTTATAAAATGAATAATCTCCTCTCACTGTCCTTCTGTTGAATGGCCACAACGTTTTGCTTAGATTCTGCCCACACTTGCACTGTGAGCAGGGTTTCCCAGAGCTGTGTGTCAAAGATGCTCAGGTCCCTGTCCTGAGCTCATTCTGTTCTGTTAGAACCTTGTTTGATGTTTGAGGAGTTCAAACTTTTCCCTCCAATAGGCACACAAGTTGCACCTCTCAACATCAAAGTTCATCTGTCATCCTGCTGCCAATTAACCTCGCACAGTTAGTGCCTTGAGAAAGCTTCTCTAGATTTCACTTTGGTCTAAGTAATCTGTTGCCTTCTATAAAAGTGGACACATTACTGCTCAGTTTTCCAAACTGGTAATAACTATCATGTTTCCTGTGATATTGGTTATTATCTTTAACCTCCATTCTCTGCGCTTTCACAGGTTCCCTGTGCATTCCTCAACACTGTTGTCTCATCCACCACCTCATGGCAGCTTTCAACCTCAGCCCCTCTGACACGTCAACATTCATCCTAAGAGGCATCCCTGGCCTGGAACATGCTCACGTCTGGATTTCCATCCCTTTTGCTACTTGCTACATTTTCTGCCTGCTGGGGAATTTGTCCATTCTGTTTGTGGTAGGCAAAGAGCAGACTATGCACCAGCCGATGTACCTGCTGCTCTGCATGCTGGCGCTCACAGACATCACCATCTCTACCTGTGTTGTGCCAAATGCCCTGGGTATATTTTGGTTCAATTTGAAAGTCATCACAGTGAGTGGCTGCTTGACCCAAATTACCTTCCTTAGTGCGGCTGTCATAACACAATCAGCCATCCTTGTGACAATGGCCTTCGATCGCTACGTGGCCATATGTAACCCACTGAGATACGCCACCATCCTCAGCAACACACGAATAGCTACGCTAGGGCTGGTCAGTTTAATAAGAGGGATTCTCTGGGTGCTACCTCTACCTCTGATGCTGAGCAAACTGTCATTCTGTGGCAACCGCATCATCTCCCATACAACCTGTCAGTCGATTCCTGTGGCAAAAATTTTATGTGGGGACCTCACATTCTACCGGCTCTATGGCTTGGTGATGACACTTATATTTATGGGGTTAGACCTGACGCTCATCGTCCTGTCCTACTATCTGATCATCAGGGCCGTTCTAAGAATCTCCTCCCAGGAGGCCCACCAGAAAGCCCTCAAAACCTGCACTGCCCACATTGGTGTGATGCTGACGTCTTACACTCCCTACCTTTTCTCCATTATGACAATTCGGTTTGGTGAGAGCATTGCGCCTCATGTTCAAATCTTACTGGCCAATACCTATATCCTTGTGCCCACCATGCTGAACCCAATCATTTATGGAGTCAAAACCAAAGAGCTTCGTGACAAAATGAGGAAACATGCTGAACCCAATCATTTACGGAGTCAAAACCAAAGAACTTCGTGACAAAATGAGGAAAAACATCTGCAGAATGTGATCCCACTGAGCCTCTGAATTTAAACCATGTCCCAAAAAGGGAACAGTTACCTTCCCATTAACCAAGATCGCTCTGTTCCACTTTGGTTAAGCTCAGCATTGTGGAAGTTTATGGTCTTAGGAGCTCTTCACATCTAACATCTTTCCAGTTCATCCCCAAGCACTGCTTTCTCCATTGCCGAGTTCCTCCTCTCTGACCATCGCCTGACCTTTTTCATTTTCATCTATCATCACACATCCCACACTCCATGTCATTCGGCCTTTTTCGTGATTTACAAGCCACCAGAAAAGACTCCCATTTTCTCTTGATTTTCCATTAGTGCCCGGGAGAATACAGATGAGTAGCAATGTGATGAGGAATTTGTAAGTCATCCAGTTGGCCTGGATCATGTTTGCCATTTTTCTGTAGACATCTTTGACAGGTTGGGCAGCAGGGGAGAGGTTTGCCTTGGTTCACTGGCCTCAGACCCAGGTCAAATAAGTCGAGCAGTTTGAGGTTGAAATTTGTTAACACGATGTTGCTGATGAGGACTAAGACCTTTATGAACGTAGTCAGTTGCTCTCTTGTGGATGTCACGACTTTTAAGCAGCACGGAAGATGAAAGATTGTTTTCCCAGATCAACCTGGTAAAACCAAAACTTTAGAGCAAGGTACAAGACGAACTTCAGAAAAACCTTTTTCCTTCCAGGCCACAGAGGAGAGAACACAAATTCTCTTCTGAACGTTTTACACCAAGGAAACAAATATTTGAACCGGTTTAGCAGATACTTTCAGACAGCAGCAATGAAGCTAAAAGAAAAACACTGGTTTAGCAGATATTTTCAGACAGCAGCAATGAAGCTAAAAGAAAAACAAATTCTGTCTTTTTCAGGAGTTCTTCAGCTAATGTGGATAATCTTTTCCTGTTACTTATTCATTGGTAAAAGAAGTCTGAATTACATGTGCAAATAAAGCATTACTTGTATACTTCAGTATAGACCAGTGTTAATTTTAAATTGTTTATTTCACTTTCCAGACTTTCTTTGGTCTACATGGCAGAGGATGTTGGGGAGATTCTCAAATGTGAGCCATTCTTTTTAGGTTACAAACGTGAGGAATTGTCCCAGACTGAGGTATTAGTAGAGGAGATTTTGGCACAAATTGATTATCTTAATGGTAACAAATCACTGGTAGAGATGGCATTCCCCCAAGAGTTCTTAAAGAACAGATGTGAAAGTGAAAAACTATTCACTGTGATTTGTAGCCTATAAATCGTCTTCAGATGGCATTCCCCCAAGAGTTCTGTGATTTGTAGCCTATAAATCGTCTTCTGAACTAAATATCGGGAAGATGGCTAATATGAATACGATATTTAAAAGGACTGTAAAGGTAATCCTGGCAATTCCAGACCAGTAAGTCTAATGTCAGTACTGGAGAAATCCATTAAATCTATGTTGAATAATAAAATTGTCAACACATAGATAAACGTAATTTGTTGAGGAGAAGTCAACATGGTTTCTGTAAAGGGAAATCATTCCTTACTGATCTACTAGAGGTCTTGGAGGGGGTCAACAAGCATGTAGACAAAGGCTATGTCTACACTACAGTCTTCTTGCAGAAGACAAAATTCATATGGAATGCTCATTTGCATATGTTGCGTTCACGTTTTCATTTCCTCCTCCAATTCCTTTTGCTCAAGAGGCTTTTGTGAAAAAAAGCTGTGTAGACAGCTCTTAAGTAAAGTCACTTTCAAGGGATAAGATGGAAGGTCCTCTCATGGACTGATAACTGGTTAAAAGACAGGAAACAAAGGGTAGGAATAAATGGTCAGTTTTCCAAGTGGAGAGATGTAACTAGTCGTATCCCCCAAGGGTCCAAACTGGGAATAATCCTATTCAACGTATTAATAAATGATCTGGAGAAAGGGGTAAACAGTGAGGTGGCAAAATGTGCTGATGTCACTAACCCTCTCAAGATATTTAAGAACAAAGCAGATCGTGAAGAGGCGCTCACAAAGTGACTGGGTAACAAAATGGGAAATGAAATGTAATGTTGATAAACGCAAAGTAATGCACATTGGAAAAAATAATTCCAGATATACATACAAAATGATGGGGACTATCTATAAGTCCATGGTATACCCAGATCTTGAAAATTGCATATAGATGTGATCACCTCATCTCAAAAAAAGATATTTTGGCACTGGAAAAGGTTCAGAAAAGAGCAACAGAAATTATTAGGGGTGTTTGGAGCAAGTTGCATATGAAGAGAGATTAAAAGGTCTTGGATTTTTCAGTTTAGAAAAGAGGAGACTAATGCTACCTCTACAATGCAGGGTTCTTGAGCAAGAACTTTTTGCGCAAGAGATTTTCTGCAAAAAGGTCTTGTGCAAGCGAGTGTCCACACTGCAAGTGCTTTTGCGCAAGAGATGGGCTTTTGCCCAAGACAGAGCATCCACACGGCGTGGAAGTTCTTGCGCAAGAAAGGCCACACGGAAACACTTCAGGCAGGGCAGAATGTCACCAATTGCTTCCAAGGGCTGGTGCAGGAGCTCTGCAGAGACATGTGCTGAAAGGGACCCCCCTGGACAGCCGTTTCTCTCCTGCTACTGCCTGCTTGTGGACCTCTCTCGAGGGACAGCCATGCTATTAGCAGTGCCTGCTGTGCTTGCCCCGTTCTTCTTTGCACACCTCAGCTTTTGATTGCCTTTTTATTGCTGCCATGGAGCTAGAGCTGCCCCTGGGCATGTCCTGGCCCCACATGGCCATGCTGGCGTGTGCGCTGCATGTGCTGCACAGTATCATGCTGCTACTCCAAGAGCACAACTGTGATGACACTGTGGAGTCCTTCTCCCGAGGTGCTTCAGCTTCACTGCTGGACCCGCAGACCATTGTGGAGAGGGAGTTCTGGATGCTGGACACCAGTGCTGACTGGTGGGACTGACTGGTGATGGATCCCTGGACCTCCAGCAATGGCTGCACAACTTCAGGATGAGGAAGGACACCTTCATGGAACTGTGCACCTGGCTCACCCCTGCACTCCACAGACAGGATACCCACCTGCAGCCAGCCAGCCCCCTACAGAGGAGGGTTGCCATTGCCCTCTGGAAGCTCACCACCCCAGATAGTTACAGGTCAGTGGGCAACCAGTTTGGCGTCGGCAAGTCCACCTTTGGGGCCATCCTCATACAGGTAGGGCCCTCTGGGGCTGCAGTCCCTGCATGGGGCAGGGCGGAGGAGCGGGTTAGTCCTGGCTAGGAGGAAATGGGGGAGAAAAGACCCATCCCCAGGGGGTTATGCCCTCCCGCCCTTACAGAGCCCTGCTGATGGGGGAAGGGCAGACTTGGGGGGGACTGCTGGGGAGTTTGGGGGGAAAGGGCAAGCAGCTTACAAGGGCTCACTCCCCCTCCTTCTCAACCTCTATTTTCCAT